CAACATCTCAGCACGCAATGTTCTGTCAACAGCAACAATTGTGGTGATATCAAGCATACATTCTGGTTTCCGCGTCAAACACAGAAGTTGCTGCCTTGAAGATCGAGAAGATCCCGTGAAGCTCCGGTTTGGAATGGGTGTTCAGAAACCCATGCTTGTCACAAGAGGCGCCTAATGAGTGGTCAGGCTCGCTCACTTGTTTGACACGTGCCAACGTATCCTAATTGTGAAGATCGATGCTCATGCTGTTGATCACTGGATTATTTACAGACCGCCGCAGTATAGCTGGGATATTGATGCGTGCGGCGTAAAACAGCAAACACAGCAAAAAGGGCAACGTAGCAACAGTTGTGAAACTTAATCATCACCGTTTAGCAAAAATGTAACATGCAAGTATAATTCTTTAAATGCAACAATAGAGACGACGAAAAGCCAAACCAGTCGCAATCATAGTCCACAGTAAACAAATCCATGACAACTTCTTCCTCAGGACCTGTGAGAGGGAATATTCCGCTTCCCATGTCAAACACAGGAGCTGCTGCCGCGGAAAATGCCATTCACTTGCTCGGTGCCATGTACTGCCCGGTCTCGTACACAATCCGTACGATGCTGTGTCTGCAAGCGACGTAGTCACGGGTGCCTCGTTAATGTGAACTGATTATTCACAATGATGTTCTGTCAGAGGAAACTGGATTTGTATCACGGATTAGCGAGAAACTAATGATGGTTCAATCACGGGTTTTCAAATCACAATATCCACCTCCAATTGAAACGACCGATGAAGTATACATATGCAACAGGTTATGATATTGTAACTAAAATGCAATACACAGCAGGTTTATCAACTCACCTTAGAAAAATACACGAAAAAGCATCAACGGTTGTTTTTTTCTTCAAATATTACCTTCCAAGGTAATGTGGTAGTAAAATCAGCTGTTAAAATCAGACGTGCTTATTCTGATTCGAAACTACAGATTGACCAATTAAGATTGAGTACTTTCCAAATTCATGGGTTATCTATTACGGATTTCAGGAAATCAAACACAAAAGTAAATCAACAACCCCCTTCATGATTATTGACTTGCGAATAAAAGCAACACCATTGTGAGTCAGATTAACAGCACCAATGATAGGACCGTTCCCACTGAAGTAGATGGAGTCCCTATACAGTATCATGTTCCAGGGCCTAGCATAAAGTGTAGTCACCCCTGAACTCAAATGATTGGACACCGTCATCTTCATCAGTGTCTTCCAGTAATTATAATACAACGCACCAGTTGTCTGATCTAGGGCTACCCCATACATGTAACGTCCTGTGGCTAAAGTTTCAAGACCTTGTCCATCATATGTCACCGAGAACAGTTTCCCGTAGTTACACCCATATATCTTCTTTCTCCTTGTATCAAGGGTGATTTGCTTTGGAACGCCTCCGTACTTGGATAAGTTAATGATGGTACTAAAGTCTTTACCTTGTGTGGACATTCTGGAAATTGTGTACTGTGGTCGAAACGTGGACAAGAATACGATGTCCTGCCCTTCATCCACTGCCATGCCAGTTGCTTCTACTCCTCTATGTAGCACTGTAGCTTGATTTGTGTCCAGTGTAGATGACATTATGATATCAGGGTTGTCTAATCCTATGAGAAGTTTTTTAGTCTTTGCTATGTAAGCAACACAACCAACATTCTTCACATTATGATACGGATAGACACTGAGGGAGTTGTTGTGGATGTTGAGTTGACGAAACTGATGCTTGTAGCGTGACCAGAGTGGAGCAATCAGGATCCTACTTTTCTCCTCATTCGGCCTTGGTGTCGTCAATGACGTTGTCAACGCAGATGGTCTGGGTGTCGTCACTGACGTTGTCAACGCAGATGGTCTGGGTCTCGTCACTGGCGTTGTCAAAGCAGGTGATTGCGGGGTAGACGTAGTATTAACAGTAACGGGAGTAGACTCAGGCACAAGAGATGACTTCGGTTGTGATATTTTGAACTGATCCGTCTCATTACAAACCCGGGCCTTCTCCAAGACAGATTCATGAAACACGATCGTCTTGACCTGAAGGTCTTTAAGAGATCTTGACACATGATGCAATTGTCTCTTCATCTGATGGTAACCATGTTTCACATGCCTCAGTTCTGAGACGACCTCACTTTTCACAATGTCTTGAAGAGAATCTCCTTGCAGAATCTCAGCCATGGTTTGTTTCACTTGATCCCGTATGTTTTCCTTTAGTTCAGCTCGCAATGCTGTCTTAGCATCATCTATGATATTTAGTATTCTTTTCTCCATTCGCAGAGAATCCATCTTGTTATCAAGCAGTTCCGTCTCCAACTGGTCTAGTCTGTCCATGACAGACACAGTACTGTCATGGCAGTTACAAAAACAGACCATGGACGTACACATCAGAAGCACTGAAAGACATGGACACTCAGCCATCATTCAATCCTTTGAGAAGACCTTTCTGTCAAAGTAAAATGTACGTGTATCCGACGTTGTTTGCTGCTGACTGGTTGATGTGACGTACAAGTATACATTAACTAGGTTATCACTATGTTTTCAGTGTTGGAGGTCGCCCGTGATGAATATCTCTCGGGTTATCACTATTTACGTAACATAGCAGGCACCTGCCTGTTTATCACTGGTTAGTTAACCCTCTATATGCCTATAGTCCGTTTGGCTCAGCAGACCGATGAATTGCAATCTAACTCAGAAAATATATAAATATATAATGCTCAATGAAACACTGATCATAATAAACACCAGACCAACTCTGTGAGTTTTTTGCAGAGTTTATGTCCTGAAAATGAAAAGGTTTTTAAACAAACTCCGTGGGTCTCTCAAAATGTACGTAAACTAACTGTATTCTTGTCCAATGTTTGAAAAGCTTCCATTTTATTTTGAAGGAATCTTAAGCAAAGTCATATCCAAAATTTTACACATGTGGGTAATGTGGTTAATGAGATATTAGTCATCACAACACATTGGGGTATAATATTTCTAACAAAACTGCAGAAAATGAAAAACGATCTGTCATTCGGTACCTCTTGGATAATGGTATGCCCTCAGAGTATATCATATATAATATGTTCAGTATAGTATTGGCTGACTTCCGTCATAATCAACAGTCAAAGATTTGGATTGCTTGATTTATATTTAGTCGGAGGCTGTTTTTTAAGGACACCCCCATTTCAAAATTCCTAAAACATTGTGTCTAGATATTCAAGCTAGCACTGTTTACAATATATTGTGAGCTGACACTTGTGTGACCATTCAGTGTTTAGTTTGAACCCTTGGCATCATGTATGAATAAGTGAAACATCAGAATAGGTTATGTCATTATGATTACGTCATCTGAAAGGGGATGGGTAGTGTCTCCAAAACGAGCTCTTTCAGTCAACATGAAGGGGGGAGTCACTTTAACAAGCGATTGTAATTTCAAATTGATGTTTTATGAACATTAATGTTTAAGTGTGATTCTAGGGGACTTCTATCAATCTCAAACACACAAAATAGTTCATGCATATTTTTTGTTTCCTGAGGTTTTTGATGCATTTATTGTAGATTTTGCGTTTTTTGAGGGTACCAAGATAAAAGGTCAAACAAAATGGGGATCGTTAGACTGGAGACAGGTACGGGTTAGAATGAACCTTCAGAAACCCATGTTGTCGCAACAGGCGACTAACGGGTGATCAGGCTCGCTGACTTGGTTGACACGTTCCAACGTATCCTAGCTAATTGTAAAGATCGATGCTCATGCTGTTGATCACTGGATTATTTACAGACCGTCGCAGTATAGCTTGGATATTGATGCGTGCGGCGTAAAACAGCAAACACAGCAAAAAGGGCAACGTAGCAACAGTTGTGAAACTTAATCATCACCGTTCAGCAAAAATGTAACATGCAAGTATAATTCTTTAAATGCAACAATAGAGACGACGAAAAGCCAAACCAGTCGCACAGTCCACAGTAAACAAATCCCATGACAACTTCTTCCTCAGGACCTGTGAGAGGGAATATTCCGCTTCCCATGTCAAACACAGGAGCTGCTGCCGCGGAAAATGCCATTCACTTGCTCGGTGCCATGTACTGCCCGGTCTCGTACACAATCCGTACGATGCTGTGTCTGCAAGCGACGTAGTCACGGGTGCCTCGTTAATGTGAACTGATTATTCACAATGATGTTCAGTGAGAGGAAACTGGATTTGTATCACGGACTAGCGAGAAACTAATGATGGTTCAATCACGGGTTTTCAAATCACAATATCCACCTCCAATTGAAACGACCGATTTGACGGCAGCATAACCATGAAGTATACATATGCAACAGGTTATGATATTCTAACTAAAATACAATACACAGCAGGTTTATCAACACACCTTAGAAAAATACACGATAAACCATCAAGGGTTAGTATTTTTCTTTAAATATTACCTTCCAAGGTAATGTGGTAGTAAAATCAGCTGTTAAAATCAGACGTGCTTACTCTGATTCGAAACTACAGATTGACCAATTAGGATTGAGTACTTTCAAATTCATGGAATTATTTATTACGGATTTCGGGGAATCAAACACAAAAGTAAATCAACAGACCCCTCCATGAATATTGGCTTGCGAGTAAAAGCAACACCATTGTGAGTCAGATTAACCGCACCAATGATAGGACCGTTCCCACTGAAGTAGATGGTGTCCCTATACAGTATCATGTTCCAGGGCCTAGCATAAAGTGTAGTCACCCCTGAACTCAAATGATTGGACACCGTCATCTTCATCAGTGTCTTCCAGTCATTATAATACAACACACCAGCTGTCTGATCTAGGGCTACCCCATACATGTAACGTCCTGTGGCTAAAGTTTCAAGACCTTGTCCATCATATGTCACCGAGAACAGTTTCCCGTAGTTACACCCATATATCTTCTTTCTCCTTGTATCAAGGGTGATTTGTTTTGGAACGCCTCCGTAATTGGATAAGTTAATGATAGTACTAAAGTCTTTACCTTCTGTAGACATTCTGGAAATTGTGTACTGTGGTCGAAACGTGGACAAGAATACGATGTCCTGCCCTTCATCCACTGCCATGCCAGTTGCTTCTACTCCTCTATGTAGCACTGTAGCTTGATTTGTGTCCAGTGTAGATGACACTATCATATCAGGGTTGTCTAATCCTATGAGAAGTTTTTTAGTCTTTGCTATGTAAGCAACACAACCAACATTCTTCACATTATGATACGGATAGACACTGAGGGAGTTGTTGTGGATGTTGAGTTGACGAAACTGATGCTTGTAGCGTGACCAGAGTGGAGCAATCAGGATCCTAATTTTCTCCTCATTCGGCCTTGGTGTCGTCACTGCCGTTGTCAACGCAGATGGTCTGGGTGTCGTCACTGACGTTGTCAACGCAGATGGTCTGGGTGTCGTCACTGACGTTGTCAACGCAGATGGTTTGGGTGTCGTCACTGACGTTGTCAACGCCGATGGTCTGGGTCTCGTCACTGGCGTTGTCAAAGCAGGTGATCGCGGGGTAGACGTAGTATTAACAGTAACGGGAGAAGACTCAGGCACAAGAGATGACTTCGGTTGTGATATTTTGAACTGATCCGTCTCATTACAAACCCGGGCCTTCTCCAAGACAGATTCATGAAACACGATCGTCTTGACCTGAAGGTCTTTAAGAGATCTTGACACATGATGCAATTGTCTCTTCATCTGATGGTAACCATGTTTCACATGCCTCAGTTCTGAGACGACCTCACTTTTCACAATGTCTTGAAGAGAATCTCCTTGCAGAATCTCAGCCATGGTTTGTTTCACTTGATCCCGTATGTTTTCCTTTAGTTCAGCTCGCAATGCTGTCTTAGCATCATCTATGATATTTAGTAGCCTTTTCTCCATTCGCAGAGAATCCATCTTGTTATCAAGCAGTTCCGTCTCCAACTGGTCTAGTCTGTCCATGACAGACACAGTACTGTCATGGCAGTTACAAAACCAGACCATGGACGTACACATCAGAAGCACTGAAAGACATGGAAACTCAGCCATCATTCAATCCTTTGAGAAGACCTTTCCGTCAAAGTAAAATGTACGTGTATCCGACGTTGTTTGCTGCTGACTGGCTGATGTGACGTACAAGTATACATTAACTAGGTTATCACTATGTTTTCAGTGTTGGAGGTCGCCCGTGGTGAATATCTCTCGGGTTATCACTATTTACGTAACATAGCAGGCACCTGCGTGTTTATCACTGGTTAGTTAACCCTCTATATGCCTATAGTCCGTTTGGCTCAGCAGACCGATGAATTGCAATCTAACTCGGAAACTAACAAATATGTAATGCTCAATGAAACGCTGATCATAATAAACACCAGACCAACTCTGTGAGTTTTTTGCAGAATTTATGTCCTGAAAAGGAAAAAGTTTCTTAACAAACTCCGTGGGTCTATCAAAATGTACGTAAACTAACTGTATTCTTGTCCAATGTTTGAAAAGCTTCCATTTTATTTTGAAGGAATCTTTAGCAAAGTCATATCCAAAATTTCACATATGTGGGTAATGTGGTTAACGAGATATTATCACAACACATTGGGGTATAATATTTCTAACAAAACTGCAGAAAATGAAAAACGATCTGTCATTTGGTACTTCTTGGATAATGGTATGCCCTCAGATATGATATAAAATATGTTCAGTATAGTATTGGATGACTTTCCGTCATATTAACAGTCAAAGATTTGGATTGCTTGATTTATATTTAGTTGAGGGCTGTTTTTTAGCTAACCCTCTATATGCCAAGTTACCTTCCGATGCATGTCTTTGCAAGATCTGAAACTAGTCCATCTTTAGAATTGTAGAGAAACCTTTGACATGCTATTTTCAGTTAGAGCGAAATATACGTGTCCCCCTCGATGTAATGCGATGTTTTCTGCTTCTGATGGTGGGCATACCTTGCAGGTTTACACTTACTGGGTTATCACGACATAATCAGTAATGGTGTAGTGGATCCCCAGCGGGTTCCATCTCCTGGAGTAAAGAACAGTAGCTTATCACCATTTACTTGTCACATCTGGCACATGCAATTTGATTGCACGTGATTTAACCCTCTGCTTGTCTACATATTTTTCTTGTGGGGTAGCCTAGTGGTTAGAGCGTTCGCTCGTCACGCCGAAGACCCGGCTTTCGATTCCCCACATGGGTACAACGTGTGAAAACCATTTCTGTCTGATGTCTTCCGTCGTGATATTGCTGGTATACTGTTAAAAGCGGCATAAACCTAAACTCACTCACTCACTTGCATATTTGTGTAAGTTTTGAAAAGTGAACATTTTGTATTGATACTCCTGTGTATTGAGATACCTTTATCAGCACCTTTGTATATTGATGCATGTATGTATTGATAGCTTAGTGTATTAGTGCATTTTTGTAATGATGCATTTGTGTTTTGATACCTTAGTGTTTTGAGATACCTTTTTGTAATGATGCCTTTTTGTATTGATACCTCTTTCAAGGATAGAGTTACTATACCCCCCATGGGCTTAGCATTCAGTACAGCCCTGGAGCAAGGCTAGCCGTTGTTATAACACGACAGCTACAACCGAGAGCGGTAAGCTCGCTTTGTGGGATCACTGCTCTGAGTTCAACTGGATATGAAGAAAACCACCAAGACTGTGATTTGTGGAGGGATATTTATATAACATAAAACGCTTTGTTAAAAGTGCCAGTGTGCTGTACTGAGCAAATGATAAGGGCTGGTGATTTATATATTGAGAGACATAATTAGCATTCTTTTCTCACAATAGAGATATGAAAGCCAAATTTATGAGCTGAAAAAAAGTAGGCATTCAAAACAGCTCCATCAGGTAGAAACAAGAATATTTAACATTTTGAAAAGATTGCGTTTATAATTCGGGGGAAACATTCATAGGTCGTAGAGATAATTTGGATATCATTCTTGTCTATTTTCTGTCGTGATTAAGTTATTTGCAGACAAAAGATCCATTATTTTTGTGCGGAATGTATCATGTAAGGTGATAAAAAAGGTATTCGGCTAAACAACAAATCTCGCACGTTTACAAAGTTTGCTGTCGTCTCGACTGGGCCTTCAGGTGAATTGTTGTGATATTCAGTAGTAAAATTGAGACAGATATGTTGCGAGTTATTGTGACACGATCTTCTTATCTGAAATTATTGGGTAATCTGTATGTTTTTGGAAACGTTATCATATGTAAACGTTCATCTTAAATGTACAATTTAAACAATTACAACTTAAGATTACACACACACGCACGCACGCACGCACACACACACACACACACACACACACACACACTTATTTAAATCAACAGATTTAGAACGTAAAACCCCAAAAAACCTACATTTAAAAAAGTTGGTAAGTTTAAATTTCCTCTGAATGTGATTACAACTGTAAGCAGGAATATAAAATAAATACATTATTAAAGATAAAACTGCCTGCTGCAGGCCACTGAATATGGGGCCGTGGTGGGCGAACTGGCTTGTTTGTTGGTATGATATGTGAATGTTTTAGAATAATGCTGTGGGGCGAAGGGGTAGCCTACTGGCGCAGTGGGCGAGCTGGCTAAGGCGCCAGGCTAGTGATCCAGCGGGCTGGCTAAGGCGCCAGGCTAGTGATCCAGCGGGCATGAGGTGCCGGGACTGAGCCCACATGTGACCGGGTGTAAAAACCTTGGAGTCAACTTTGTGTGCAGACTCTTTCAGTGTTGTAACAACCCCTAGTGTACAGTACACAACCCTGTGCACTTAAAAGAACCCACGAATCCGTTGGTAAATGACTAGATGGTGGCTACATGAATACGTGCAAACACCTAGTTGCAGGTACAGCAACGAGCAGTGAACATGGACAAAGTACTGTGACTATGTGTCCCAGTCCACCCAGCTGTGAATGGGTACCTAATGCCAATCAAGCATCTGACATGTATTTCGTTCAAATGAAACATTCATCATTTCAGAAGACATTCAGAAGATTCAAATTAAAATAACTTGTTGAGTTTGAAACAGTTGAGTATGTTGGCCATCAGATCAGAAGCTTATGTTGACACAAATGCATTTCTTTTGCACTCGTTGGCGCATGTCGTAAGAGGTGACTAACGGTTCGGGGGATCAGTCGTCCTGACTACATGTCATAGTATCCCAGCTGCGTATATCGATGCTCATGCTGTCGATCACTGGACTGACTGGTCCAGACTCGATTGTTTACAGACTTCCGCCATATAGCTGGAATATTGCTGAGTGTGGCGTTAAACAACAATCAATCAATAAATCAATCAATCCATATTATTTAAAAATATATCGTGGGAAAATATTTTATTTGGTTTAATCTATAACATCTAACGAAAGACTCGTCCCGGTCAGATATCCAGGGTTGCTAACACATGCTAGTATGCTATATATAATATATAAGACGTCAGAGTGAGTGAGTATGGATTTACGCCGCTTTTAGCAATATTCCAGAAATATCACAACGGGGGACACCAGAAATGGGCTTCACACATTGTCCCCGTGTGAGGAATCGAACCCGGGCCTTAGGTTTGTCGATCGAACGCTTTAACTACTAGTCTAACCAGTCTCGATTATCTTGCGAAACAGATTCCGTTTGGTCTGAATGTCAACTATAGCCGAGGATGGTAATTACGACAGCTGGCTATCAATGTACATCATAGAGATCGGTAATCGTAAACTAAATATCAATGAAATATCGATAAATATCGGAGAAGTAACTTTGAGCTAAAATGCCGAAAAATGTCTGAAAGAGTGAGTGAGTGAGTTATTATTTAACGTCACATCGGCAATATTTCAGCCATATCAATGTCTGAAAGAAATGAACATATTTAACTCGAGTAATCATTGATAATCAGTAATGACAAAAAGGGTAATCATGTCCACCTCTGGCAGTAGCGTCCGGGGGGTATTGTGGGGTGGGGGATATATTGTTATCCCTGTCTCTCCCAGTTCTCCTTGTACAGGGGATCTGAATTTTCTGTCAGACACCGGTAAAGAGATCTGAGGACGGACCAAATGTTTTTTCACGTTGTCGTATAGGGTTACAACGAACAAACGCTATTATATTTAGTATCCAGTGTTGTTGCAGAGACGCTGCAAGAGACCACCTGCACAATGAGCTTAGCAACACAAGGATGGATCAGATGATAAAAAGATGTTCCTTTCTCTGTGACCTTGGACTGGCAAGACCTTGGGTCAAAGGTCAGACTAGGATTGCGGAACTTTAACCCCGGGGGAATTTTGTCAGATGAGGTCCATGTTTTTGTTACGCTTCCTGTCAAAATACCAGACACCCATGTCGACCGTTCTTGCCTGTCAAGGTCAGATCGATGTAAGGCCTCATATACCGTCATGTATGTTCATGTGTCGAGAGTGAAACAATTCATCCAGTGCCAAACGTGGTTGCCATTGACTCCATGGGTTGAGGCGGGGCAGATAAATCCCTCTGTTGTATATTTGTCTTCCAGTCCTAACCACCGTCTTACCTTCCCCATCTCCACCCCAGCTTATTTCTCCATCGAGATGGTTTATTTGTGAGAATGTGCTAGGAAAACGATTAAGCTGATTGGGTTGATTGACGGATAACATACAGTGTAGCTTCAAGATGGCTGTGTTTATGGTTGAGAGGTAGGGTGAAGACACCGATACGTTGACACGTAGTACAGAGGTCGGGGCGTGGTGATGGACGGGGCAGGTGGCAACGGCGTTGAGGATGTCTGCTACATCAGGCGCTTCATTGCAATAAAGGGGCCATGGGGTAGCCTTGTGGTTGAAGCGTTCGCTAGACACGCCGAAGAACCGGGTTCGAATGTGTGAAGCACATTTCTGGTGTCCCCCGCCGTGATATTGCTTGAATATTGCTCAAAGCGGCGTAAAGTCGTTGCTACTCGCTGGTACACTGAGTCGACATATATTTAGAGCTAACAGCTACTGAGAGCTTTGAGCTACTCATAGAAAACAGCTACAGAGAGCTACCGTCTACTTACAGCTGACAGCTACTCTTATACATCACCACCAATCTCCTGCATCATTTAGACAATTTTAAATCGCACGTCAGCTAACGTCAACT